ATAAATGTATGGAAGAGGGTAAGGTACCTAGGGATTGGCAGAGAGCATGCATAGTTCCTTTGTATAAAGGCAAAGGGGACAAAAGAGAGTGCAAAAATTATAGGGGGATAAGTCTGTTGAGTATACCTGGTAAAGTGTATGGTAGAGTTATTATTGAAAGAATTAAGAATAAGACGGAGAATAGGATAGCAGATGAACAAGGAGGCTTTAGGAAAGGTAGGGGGTGTGTGGACCAGGTGTTTACAGTGAAACACATAAGTGAACAGTATTTAGATAAGGCTAAAGAGGTCTTTGTGGCACTTATAGATTTGGAAAAGGCGTATGACAGGGTGGATAGGGGGGCAATGTGGCAGATGTTGCAGGTGTATGGTGTAGGAGGTAGGCTACTGAAAGCAGTGAAGAGTTTTTACGAGGATAGTGACGCTCAAGTTAGAGTATGTAGGAAAGAGGGAAATTATTTCCCAGTAAAAGTAGGCCTTAGACAAGGATGTGTGATGTCACCGTGGTTGTTTAATATATTTATAGATGGGGTTGTAAGAGAAGTAAATGCGAGGGTCTTGGCAAGAGGCGTGGAGTTAAAAGATAAACAATCACACAAAGTGGGAGTTGTCACAGTTGCTCTTTGCTGATGACACTGTGCTCTTGGGAGATTCTGAAGAGAAGTTGCAGAGATTGGTGGATGAATTTGGTAGGGTGTGCAAAGAAGAAAATTAAAAGTGAATACAGGAAAGAGTAAGGTAATGAGGATAACAAAAAGATTAGGTGATGAAAGATTGGATATCAGATTGGAGGGAGAGAGTATGGAGGAGGTGAATGTATTTAGATATTTGGGAGTGGATGTGTCAGCGGATGGGTCTATGAAAGATGAGGTGAATCATAGAATTGATGAGGGGAAAAGGGTGAGTGGTGCACTTAGGAGTCTGTGGAGACAAAGAACTTTGTCCTTGGAGGCAAAGAGGGGAATGTATGAGAGTATAGTTTTACCAATGCTCTTATATGGGTGTGAAGCATGGGTGATGAATGTTGCAGCAAGGAGAAGGCTGGAGGCAGTGGAGATGTCATGTCTGAGGGCAATGTGTGGTGTGAATATAATGCAGAGAATTCGTAGTTTGGAAGTTAGGAGGTGCGGGATTACCAAAACTGTTGTCCAGAGGGCTGAGGAAGGGTTGTTGAGGTGGTTCGGACATGTAGAGAGAATGGAGCGAAATAGAATGACTTCAAGAGTGTATCAGTCTGTAGTGGAAGGAAGGCGGGGTAGGGGTCGGCCTAGGAAAGGTTGGAGAGAGGGGGTAAAGGAGGTTTTGTGTGCGAGGGGCTTGGACTTCCAGCAGGCATGCATGAGCGTGTATAATAGGAGTGAATGGAGACAAATGGTTTTTAATACTTGACGTGCTGTTGGAGTGTGAGCAAAGTAACATTTATGAAGGGGTTCAGGGAAACCGGCAGGCCAGACTTGAGTCCTGGAGATGGGAAGTACAGTGCCTGCACTCTGAAGAAGGGGTGTTAATGTTGCAGTTTAAAAACTGTAGTATAAAGCACCCTTCTGGCAAGACAGTGATGGAGTGAATGATGGTCAAAGTTTTTCTTTTTCGGGCCACCCTGCCTTGGTGGGAATCGGCCAGTACCAGTACCTAGTCCTAAGGTTCGTAGGTTCGAGTCTCCTTCAGCCAGAGATCAGTGTTTGTGTATATTTCGCATGCTCTCGCGAATTCCTTGCATTGTTCAAATCTCTAGTAAGGCTGATGCATGCAGGGGATGAGATGAAAAGCTGTAAGCCTTCTCCCTGAAAGCTGGCTGCCTTGGATCAAACGTGTAGTGCATGCTACACGCCAAGGTATTGTCCAGTGTGGGTAGATTGGTAAAGCACTGCGTACCTTGTCCTAAGGTTCGTAGGTTCGAGTCTCCTTCAGCCAGAGATCAGTGTATATTATTTTATATATATATATATATATTTATATATATATATATATAAAATATATTAATATTATATATTAATATTTATATATAATATTATATATATATATATATATATAATATTAATATATAATATAAAACTTGCTATTTGGCTTAAATAGGAACGCTCTTCTTGCCGAATAAAGCAAGCGAAAATTTGTGTATGCAGTAATTTCGAAAAAATCATTCTGAACGTAACGAAAAAATATATTTCATTGTGTTTGTCATATTATTGTAAACTTATCTAAAATATATTTACCTGAATTATGCTAAATTAAATTGCGCTTGTTATAATAAGTTTCGTAATTTTCTTTTGTTACAAAATTATTAATTTTTACATTAACATAAATGAAGAAAATATATCTTTTATCGTAAAAGAGAAAATTTTAGAAAGGACTTAATTTTAACTGTAGACAGCCTGTACTGTCTGCACAGACAGCCCATGCTGTCTGCCAGCTTAGTTCATATTTCGCGCCACTCAGGTGCTGCCCTCTGTAGCCAGGATTCTCGGTAGGCACGCCAGCCTGCCGGCCCATGCCTCCGCCTCACTCACACAGCGGCCTAGCAGGAAGACACAAGTACTCCCAGCTCTCTCGTGGGATGGCCCTGCCTGGGCCATGGGCACAAACACACAAGCCTGTGTACCCACCACTACTTAACAATAAAGTAAGAAGCCTCCCAAGACGTTTATCATTTAACCACCCGCTTGCAGCACCTACCAAACAAACCGGTTATAATTGGTACCAGCGGTGGTCCCAGCAGTGTGTTTGCCCAAAGCAAGGAAGGAAGAGGGATGAAGTCATCTTCACTTCATCATCCCATACAAGAAGCATCCGTCTCTCAACAAGTTATCCTGATGTCGTGCCTGCACGTTTGAGCACCCAGACACAGGTACAAGCAGGATCCAGCCGAAATTTGCCGAAATTCTCCGAGAATTGTAAGTGACGTCACAGTGGCCCCACGCTACAGTGACTCCACGCTACAGTGTCCCACGCTGTTTCTCAAGTCACGTGTTCAGCGTCACTTGTATGTTGCTGTTGTTGTTGTTCAGCTGAGCACAGCCGTTTCAGCAAGCCAGAGGTGAGTTTTGTGGTGATTTCTGCGTCCAGTGAGAGTTCTCTACGTATTTGTGGGTGGGGGAGGAGAGGAGAGGTAGTGGCTGTTCCTCACGTTGCCCATGCTCGCCCTACTCACACTCACCGTCTACCATAACACCACTCACCACTCCCCAAATCCCTCTGCTGTTTTTTTCTGCTGTTTTCCATGTAAATTCATTGCCAAAAGGCTGTTTTATCCGAGTGCCCGAGGCACTCGAAGCTACAGGACCAGCATGCCATGTTAGATAAAGGACACCACGTGGATCGCGACCCACGTGGGTGTGGGCGATGTACGTGGATCTACTAGCCACGTGAGTTACCAGATGTCCCAGGCACATGCTGTGGCCCTGCTGCCCACATACATTGACGTCACTATGATGCTGCCCGACTTCATGACGTCACGATGTCTGCCTGACGTCACCTTGAGATGTCTGCTGACGTCACCTCGAGATGTCTGCTGACATCAGTGCTGCTGACGTCATCACGCTTGACATCACATGATGTCACCATCGAGTGTTCAGTAATTATTTCAGTATTGTCGAGAAGATCGAGAGAAGATATATGTCGTGTTAATTAATTCCTCTCAGTCAGTGTTCTCACATGTTAGTTGTTACCGCGGGTGTGTAAAGTTTCCGTGTGTCCAGTGAGGTCTGAGCCAGACCTGAGTAGCACCACTGTGCTAGGTCACCCGTGTGACCAGTACATTTGACAGCTGATGTCAAGACAGCTCCGAGTGACCGAGCCCTCTTGTACAGAAAGCTTTTATGCTGTCGCTCTTTGTTGTTCTGCAGAATCGTCCCTGCTACGTTTCCCCATCGAGATTTTTTTTCACTTCACCTCCAGACCGTCAGGGGTGCAGTTATATGTGAGAAACAAGTCTGGGGACGCTTAGACTAACCCCTACTATAACTCCAACTGTCGAGAGAATGACACACTGTGTCAGCCTCGTGTCACAAGCTTCAGTGAACAGCCTGCACATAGAAGATGTCACTTTGACTGCTAGCTCTCTCACTGCAGTCTGGGTATGAATGTTACAACCCCCAGATGTTTCGCCCAGTCGTCTCTGCCACGACTCGCTCCACGCTCCCCGGCAGTGACAGCCCGTGACAGTACCAGTTGGGGAAGTGTCTCCCGAGTCGCTTGCCAGAAGTCCTGCCCAGTTGCCGGTTTTGTCGACGCCTCATCGAGGGCACCGCTGTTGGGGCCCCAGGTTGAGTGAAACCTGCAGCGATCCTGCGATGATGCTTACCGTTTCCCGAGGGACCGTAACCTGTTACGTCACAGCTCAGCCGCAGCGATTTTCTCCCGTGTTGCAGTATCTGTCCAGACGAGGAAGGCGTGCAGTGAGCCCTTCGATGCTCATGCCTTGACCACGTGTTTGCACACCCACAGTTTTTTTCCTCCTGTAGGGGAAATTTTTTCCATGTCCATTGTATTATATGTTTTATTTGGTTCGGTGCCCTGTTCTAGAGAGAGACCAAGTTTCTTTACTACCATTTTGTCGCATCGGGGGAGGACGCGCGGTAGGTGGCCGAGCGTATGTAGACAGCCTGTACTGTCTGCACAGACAGCCCATGCTGTCTGCCAGCTTAGTTCATATTTCGCGCCACTCAGGTGCTGCCCTCTGTAGCCAGGCCTCTCGGTAGGCACGCCAGCCTGCCAGCCCATGCCTCCGCCTCACTCACACAGCGGCCTAGCAGGAAGACACAAGTACTCCCAGCTCTCTCTCGTGGGATGGCCCTGCCCGGGCCATGGGCACAAACACACAAGCCTGTGTACCCACCACTACTTAACAATAAAGTAAGAAGCCTCCGAAGACGTATCATTAACTCCCCGCTACCAGGATACCAAATAATCTCGTTATATAACGAGTTCTTGCTAATTGACCAGTTTTACCTATTCAGCACGACACATATAAATATATCAAAAGTACAGGTATTAAACACTTACCTGACTACACTATTAATGAGCTGCTGAGCTTGTTCAGGTGTGGGCGGTGGCCAGTCATCCCGTGGGTGGTGTCCGCCCCACAAGCCGCCCATCACGGTGGGGTGGTGGGGCGGCGGACCATACTCAAGTGGGTAGTCCAGCGGGTAGTCTGGCGGGAGAAAATCCGGGTGGATGTACTCTGGAGGGAGGTCTCGCGGGTAGGCCGGGTGATGGGGGTGAGGAGGAGGAGGCAGGAAGCTTCCCCCCAGCATAGGATCGGGGAGGTATCCCACTTCGAAGGGATAGAGAGGATATGTCGGGTATTCCATGGGAAGGAAGGGCGGGACTGGCACGGGGGATACCCTACCAGGAGACATGGGATTGGCTTGGCACATGGGTGGATACCCCATCAGGTGAGGGAACCTGATGGGGTCCTGAGGGTGAGGGAACGGCTCATCCATATACCGTGGATCAATCATTCTTGGATCAATCATTCTTGGATCCACCATTCTTGGATCCACCATTCGTGGATCCAGCAACGTATGGTTGTGGATGCGTTGATCCAACAGGTGGTCCTGGTAGGTGGTGTGGTCTAGCCACCTGTCTGACGACCTGGAGCGCTGACGACCATCCTGACTGTAGCTACGACCTTCCACCTCACCTGAACGACTCTTCCTCAGGTGTCGTGGTTCCCTGACGTCCCTATTGTCTCTGGAGACCCTGAGGGCGTCCCTAGAGCGCCCGCGACTGTCCCTGGGAGTCCTGGGTTTAGGGACCACCTCCCGCGTGTCCATGGTCGTAAGATCGCCCGAACTGGACGACAGGTCGTCGCGACGAAGACGGGTGTCCTCGCTACGCTGACGGCGTGGCTGACGGCGGCTGTCATCCTCCTGACGTCGTAATCTCGCCCGATCCTCTGACATTTGCCTCCTGACGCCGCCTTTAGCAGGCAGAGCAGTCAGTGGTACTGACGGAGGTACTGACGGAGGTACCGACGGAGGTACCGACGGAGGTATTGACGGAGGTACTGACGGAGAGTCAGGCACCTCCGGCAGCAGGCGCTGGGAGACACACACATCAGAGTTTATCTCCTGGTACTCGTGGCTGGACGGGGAGGAACTACCCGAGCCGGGGCAAGGTAGACGGGTCTTCCGGGGCAGTTCCGGGGGCACGGGGACGGCAGCATCTCGGGGCTTGAGGGTCCGGTCTACCGGTGGAGGGTCTGAAGGCTCCGGATCCGAGGTGTTGGAGCAGTGGTTGGCAGACTGGGGTGCTGGAGACTCGTCGTTGGTGTCTGTCTCAATGTCATCAAACTCTGACAACACACGGTCAAGCACATCCAAACTTTGTCGGATCTCCTCGCTGCTGCGGAAGAGAAAAAAACAGAAATTAGGACGAAGTACCACTGAACAGATAAACACACACACAAACATCAATCAATATTATCTCTCAGTCCACAGCAGGATTCCAGTCTGTAAACCGGACATCAGAGTACACAGTACTTCATCCACCATGCCAGACTCCAAATAATTTCGCCCGTCCGCGAACGGTTAACCACACACACACACACACACACACACACACACATATATATATATATATATATATATATATATATATATATATATATATATATATATATATTATATATATTGCTGAATAGGTAAAACTTGCGATTTTGGCTTAAATGGCAACGCTCTTCTTGCCGAATAAGGCAAGCTAAAATTTGTGTATGCAATAATTTCGCAAAAATTAGTCTGAACCTAACGAAAAAAAATATATTTCATTGTGTTTATTTATTAAATTGTAAATTTATTTAAAATATATTCAGTTGGATTAGGCTGAATTAAATTGCGCTTGTTATAATAAGGTTAGGCAAGTTTCCTAAGGTTCTTTTGGTACAAAATTATTTATTTTTACATTAACATAAATGAAAAAAAATATATCTTTAAATGTATAAGAAATTTTTTAAAAAGGACTTAATTTTAAACGAGTTCTTGCTAATTGATCAATTTTACCTATTCGGCAAGACACACACAATTAGTAATCAACAGTGATCAATAAAGCTGTTACTGCAGCCAGTAGTAGCAGCTTTACTGATCAGGCCTTCATCCACTAGGAGGTATGGTCTGAGACCCGCACTTCAGGTATACTTCAGGACAGTGTACACGACATCTGTGACGCCTATCATAGAGTAAGCAGCGCCAGCATGGAGCCCACATCTACCCCCAGAAAGGTTTGGAAACTAGATTACATCCAGAGGAAAATGAGCCATGAAGACAGGCGTAAGCAACCGAAAGTGACAATCTTTAAAGAAAGTAGTACTAGGGGAGACATAACCACAGAGTAAAAGATACTTAAACAATACTTCCTCAATGTGTAAGAAGGCAGATGAAGAGGCGGTGGGGGGGGGGGGGGAAGACCACAAACTTTCAAGAACAGGTATGATTTAGGCCATTTATACCATGAATCAGTAAAGCTGGTGGATGGTACTTAAAAAAAAGCCAGAGCCAGGAGCTACGACTCAACTCTAATACAAAACTGAAGGCAATCACACAAACACGTAAGTGCAACACAACACAATGAGTGCACACCACCAAGGATGTGCGTCGAGTGCCTTGTAACAAGACCCACTAGAGTGCACGTCTCGTACTACCATCTTACATTATAAGTAACCAGAGGAACTCATCTTTTATTGGTTATTTCACAGTTGTAATATACTTACTGATGCAGAACAAGCCACATGAGGATGGAAATATTTAGCTCTAGATCTTTCACACGCTCGTGCGTCGTCAGGAGCTATGCAATGTTGCAAGATAGTAACATAATAAGGGAAATTCTCTGAGACAAGGCAGAAGACATCAGTGTCAGCCCATGACACAGAGTGGCTTGTGTCTGCATTGTTAAGATCGTCAGTTTTCGACTGTGTTCAATACTGACTTGTGACTTAGAGATAACAAGACCACAATGGAAATAAGTCACTTTTTCTAACTTTTTGGGGTCTATCCTGGGTAACATCATACTAGGTATAATAACTGTACTTATGTAAACCTGTATCTAAATAAACCTAACTTATGTAAACCTGTATCTAAATAAACCTAACTTATGTAAACCTGTATCTAAATAAACCTAACTTATGTAAACCTGTATGTAAACAAACCTAACTTATGTAAACCTGTATCTAAATAAACCTAACTTATGTAAACCTGTATCTAAATAAACCTAACTTATGTAAACCTGTATGTAAACAAACCTAACTTATGTAAACCTGTATCTAAATAAACCTAACTTATGTAAACCTGTATCTAAACAAACCTAACTTTCACTCAGTACCTATGACCTCTCTTATTACTGTCTGTGTGTGTCTCTCTCCTTCCTCCATCCTACATTGTCTTCACACACCTCTCCCCATCCTTCCTTCTCCTGTATTAACCTCCTCCTCCTCTCTTACCCTCCTCCTCCCTCCTGTCTCTCTCAACACTCAAAAGTCATACGAAGCAACGGGAGGAAAACAATAATAGTGAAAACCTAAATAAACCAGAATATACGCAGCCATAACCATTATCATACACCACTTGTGTAGCTGGCACCCTCCCTGGCACCCCTCCGTGGCACCCCTCCCTGGCAACCTTCTTGGTACCCCTCCCAACCAACCTTCCTGGCACCCCTCCCTGGCAACCTTCTTGGTACCCCTCCCTACCAACCTTCCTGGCACCCCTCCCTGGCAACCTCCCTGACAACCTTCCTGGCACCTTCCCTGGCACCCTTCCCCCTCTACTGCCTGCTGCTTCTATATCAACATTAAAGACTCTTAACCTCCTTAGGTGTTACCCTCCAAGGTAACTCCTCCAGTCTTCAAGGGCGGGGGTCACCTGATATCTTCAAGTCAGTTCCTGATCAGCCAGGCTGTGGTGCCAACAGTCTGACCCAAGCCATGAACCAAGATTGTTCTGGGAGCGGGTACGATGACCCCCGGAAGGTGACGGGTAGTCAGGTCACAGCCAGGTCAAGTCTTGCCACCTTCACTTTCTCCTCCTCCTAGTTCAAAAGATAAAAACACTAGTCCGTGCGTATCCTCCTGGTAGATATACCTGCAAATCCCTCTTAAATCCAGTCTACCCATCATTCTTCATCTGACTCTCCCCACTATATAGTCATGTTTACGTGTGGCCAGCAGTAACAGCCTGGTTGACAAGACCCTGATCCACCACGAGGCCAGGTCTCAGACCGAGCTGCAGGGGCGCTGACCCCCGAAACCATGTCTAGGTATGTAGTCTTGACACACTCGCTATGGGAAGCCACAGCTGGGTCACCAAATGGAGAAGACCCGGGCTAGGATGTCCTGGCGAACTTATCTGTACGTGTACCTGCTTACCCGGGTAAACCTGTTTGTTACTTGATAAAGCCCCACTGTGTGGGCGAAACGTTGTCAACAAAGGATCACATTATATTGCATTTGTATCTATTTTCCCGCTCTTAGCAAACCACAATATATATGACACAACCAGAAAACAATGTAGAGCCACGACCCGAACCTACATAGTATCATAACATTCTGCGGTGAAGAGATGTGGAAAGTGTAAAACTGAACCAGGGGACAAGCTAGGGCGCCATGAGAAAGATACTGTGTCAACATGCGTGGTCCAAGACTGCTCAACCTGTTACCAGCAGATATGAGAAACACTGCTGGAACTAGTGTACAAGTCTTGCAGAGCAAACTGGACCACAACCTCCAACGAGTGTCACATCAATCAAGCTATGATGGATATGTGGGCCAGCGGGCTGCTAACAGCAACAGCCTGCGTAAACAAGCTGGTTGGTTAGAAAATCCCTCAAAGTCCGTGTGCGCGTGTGCCTGTGTTAGAGAGAGAGAGAGAGAGAGAGAGAGAGAGAGAGAGAGAGAGAGAGAGAGAGAGAGAGAGAGAGAGAGAGAGAGAGAGAGAGCGTCTCCTTCAGCTGGTATTGGTGTGTAAATAAGAGTCCCCCCCCCAAGAGAGCCTCTTAGAGACAGAACACGCTCAAATGGTGCAATATGGCAGAGTGCCTATATCCCCTCCCCCCGTCTGTCTGTCTGTGTCTGTCTGTCGCTCTCTCCCTCTCTCATGTAGACACTGTACTAACACCACCACCACAACTCACACACTTTACCACAAACTGACCAACTCTAGTTGTATTCTGAGCTTCTACTGACGTGCTTATTATATAAGATTCTAATGATGTACTTGCAATTTAAGTTTCTCTTGATGTAATTTAACTGAAGATGTACGATAGTACCTAAACTCTGAAAATAACAGGCTAGATAACTAGCACTTTCAAGACCACCACCCTCAACGTAGGCGGGAACACTGTTGTATACTGACCACCACCCTCAACGTAGGCGGGAACACTGTTGTATACTGACCACCACCTTCAAGGTAGGCTGGAACACTGTTGTATACTGACCACCACCTTCAAGGTAGGCTGGAACACTGTTGTATACTGACCACCACCTTCAAGGTAGGCTGGAACACTGTTGTATACTGACCACCACCTCAAGGTAGGCTGGAACACTGTTGTATACTGACCACCACCTTCAAGGTAGGCTGGAACACTGTTGTATACTGACCACCACCCTCAAGGTAGGCTGGAACACTGTTGTATACTGACCACCACCTTCAAGGTAGGCTGGAACACTGTTGTATACTGACCACCACCTCAAGGTAGGCTGGAACACTGTTGTATACTGACCACCACCTTCAAGGTAGGCTGGAACACTGTTGTATACTGACACCACCTCAAGGTAGGCTGGAACACTGTTGTATACTGACCACCACCCTCAAGGTAGGCTGGAACACTGTTGTATACTGACCACCACCTTCAAGGTAGGCTGGAACACTGTTGTATACTGACCACCACCTTCAAGGTAGGCTGGAACACTGTTGTATACTGACCACCACCTTCAAGGTAGGCTGGAACACTGTTGTATACTGACACACCCTCAACGTAGGCTGGAACACTGTTGTATACTGACCACCACCTTCAAGGTAGGCTGGAATACTGTTGTATAATGACCACCATCTTCAAGGTAGGCTGGAACACTGTTGTATACTGACCACCACCTTCAAGGTAGGCTGGAATACTGTTGTATAATGACCATCTTCAAGGTAGGCTGGAACACTGTTGTATACTGACCATCTTCAAGGTAGGTTGGAACACTGTTGTATACTGACCACCTTCAAGGTAGGCTGGAACACTGTTGTATACTGACCACCACCTTCAAGGTAGGCTGGAACACTGTTGTATACTGACCACCACCTTCAAGGTAGGCTGGAATACTGTTGTATACTGACCACCACCTTCAAGGTAGGCTGGAATACTGTTGTATACTGACCACCATCTTCAAGGTAGGCTGGAACACTGTTGTATACTGACCACCACCTTCAATGTAGGCTGG